TTACCTACTCAAGGGAAACATTGTTGGGATCCAGGTCCTTCCCTGTGCCTTGATGGACGACCTTCATGGACAGGGAGAGCTTCAGTTTCTCATCTTTCATCTGCAAAGCAAAGAGATGGAACAACAGAATAAATGGCCACGGTTTTAACTAATTAACTCTCAGGGTATTTTATTATAATTAAGGTTACCTCTTTCCCAATGAGCTTCACCCAGACTTTGTCCCCAACGTCRACAATCTCRGAGGGTTTATCCACACGGCAGGCRGACATGTGAGWCCTGTGGACAAGGCCTGGGAGAGAAGAGAGAGAAAAAATCCTCAGATTTGCCSTACTAACATCAGTTTTCAAAGTGGCTTGGAGCAGATAACCCTCCAGGATGTGGAAACAACGTATTTTTCTACCATTCATAAATTACATTGAAAAATTAAGTGCTTTTCATCTTCAGCTCATCCTTTTTTTCATTTCCATACAAATAATTCTCCACTGAACCTCAGATYTGCAGTTTCCAAAGTGGCTCAGAGCAGATAATCCTTTGGTGTGTGAGAAAGAGTTAAGAACATGAATATGTTCTTAAATTAATTAAGCAATTAATTAAATATGTTCATAAATTAAAATTAATAAATTAAATTTAATAACCTAAATAATTTAAAATTAATAAATTTAAGTAGTAAACAAAATAATAATAAAAATAAATTAGATTCAAGAATTAGTAGTGTGTATTTCATCTTCAGCTCATTCTTTTTTAATTTCTATTTCTGAGTGTGGTTTACAATGTACACACCACTAGCAGGGCCGCACAGTTATAAGTAACAAATACGGATAATAAAGGTACTTATAAATAAATACATTTATTTTCTCGATGGTGCTCAAAATTTTTTAACTAAGACAGGCCACACTGCCCCAAACTAGATTTTAATTTGGGTTATTGACACATGGGCAACAGGGTTCTGCAGAGAAATCTGGGAACAAATGACAAAAAACCTCCACTAAAATATTCTCATATTACCAAAAACTCTTCACCAAACTATTCTGAAATTACCAAAAAACCTCTACCAAAAATATTCTGAAATTACCAAAACCCTCTACCAAAATATTATGAAATTACTAAAAATCTTCACCAAAATATTCCGAAATTACCAAAATCCTCCACCAAAATATTCTGAAATGACCAAAACCTCACCCTAAGATACCCCAAAGTTACCAAAAATCTGAGGATTTTTTGGTATTTATGCAAAAATCCATCATATTCTAAATCTTTTCCTTTAATTCTGAGGTCACTGCTTGGCTTGAATACACCAACATGAACCTACACCAGAGACACAAACCTTGCTTCCTGCAGCCTGGGATTCKGATAAATGCCCCATAATCCGTCACTGCAGCAACCTGGGAAGAAAATC